AACTTGTCGACTTATCTGAATATAGGAAGGCAATAGGATGCAAATGGATTCTCAAGAAGAAATTTAAAGTTGATGGAACCATTGATAAGGCTAGATTAGGAGCCAAAGGGTTTATTAAAAAAGGAGTAGAGAATGTGGAGACATATGTCCTTGTTGCAAAATCTACATCTATAAGGATAATTATAAGCATTGGTAGAATATTAAGACTTGGAATTATTTCAATTTAGATATTAATTCAGCTTTTTTTAAATGGAGAATTAAATGAAGATATTTATATGAAATAACCAGAGGGATATATAATTCTATGTCAAGAAAAAAAGTATATAAATTAAAAAAATCTTTATATGGCCAAAAACAATCATCTAGGCAATAGTACATAAATTTTCCCAAGGCAATTGCCCAAATTGAATATATATAGCTAATATATTGGATCACTGTGTATATGTTTCGAATAGTAGGAGTAAATTTGTGATTTTATCCCTAGATGTAGATGTTATTCTATTAGCTAGAAATGATATGAAAATGATCAATAAAACTAGATCTTGGCTTAATTCAATTTTGAAATGAAGGATATGGGAGAAGCGTTATATGTTTGGGAGATTACAAGGAATAGAAATTATAGGCTTCTCTACTTATTTTAAAAAAAAAATTTGAAAAAATATTCTTAAGAGATTTAAGATGGAATACTACAAAACAATGAAAGCTCTTATTTGTAAGGGCATGAAGCTATCAAATAAAGAATGTCTAATTAATGATGCAGATAAAGCTAAAATGAAACATGATTCATATAAAACAAGCAATTGGGTCTACTATGTACAATACCTTACATTAGTTTGGCAATAGGATATATCAGTGGATTTCAAAGTAACTCAAGTATGACTCACTGGCAAGCAATTAAAAGGATACTCAGATATATCCAAGGGATCAAACATAATAAATTGTGTAATCAAGTTGATGACCTGCAAATTCATGAATTCTCTAATGTAGACTTCACATGAGATCCTGATGATAGAAAACTCACTTTTGAAAATCTTTTCTTCTTTAGATGAGGTTATGTTTTTTGGTTTAGTAAGAAACATGAATGTGTTGCCCGTTGCATATTAGAAGCGAAATACATCTCTTTACTATAGCTTCTACTTTTGTCGTCTAGACAAACCACTTCATTAGGGATTTAAAGCTGCAAATAACTGACAAGCTAGTTCAGATATTTTGTGATAACGAGACTGCAATTTTGTTAACTAAAAATTGACCAATTAGCTCTAAATGTAAACATATAGCAGGTGATTATCATTATATCCAAGACATAGTGGAAAACAAAGAAATTGCAATACGTTATTTGTCTTCCAATGATATGATGGCGGATCCTTTAACCAAGGGATTGACTGCTAAAATGTCCTCTACACATGTGACTATGATGGGACCTAGAGAATATAAATTTTTCTCCCGAGAGGCACATTTGAATGCTACAAAGGACTAAATCATGTAGATGTACAAAACTTTGTAGCGAGCTATGTCATATTAGGTAAAATAATAAAAAAATAGTAAAAAATTATCTATATGCTTCACAATAAAATTCTTCTCTCCATATCTATTTTCTTTCTCTACCATTCTCAATAAAAAATTATTTCAGGCAGGTTGGAGCCCAGCCCTAATCGGGCCAAAGATGCAATGGCCCGGCCTTGGCCCTAGCCCTATCAAGGCCGGGCTAGGCCAAGAAAAATAGAAAAAAAAGAAAAAAAAAAAAAAGTAAAAGAAAAAATCAAAGAAAAAGAGAGCTGGGATTTCTACCATTGGGCCATGGTTGCCAGACCTTAGCCTGTCCTTAGGCCACATTTTGTGGCCTAAGCTCTAGTTTTTTGGGGCTAGATTGACCAGGCGGGGTCGGGCCACTCAGCCCACTGCCACCCTTATTGCTCAAAAGTAGGGAGTTTATTGAAGTGGATTACTGTGTTCACTTTAGTGACTCAATTGTTTTATCGAGTATTAGATAATGGTAAAGTCTCTGCCGCTTCATAATTTGAGTAATTTGGCAAGAAGTTCACAGACGAAAGAGAACCGAAGCAAATACATTCAAAAAGTAATATGGGAGATAACTTGAGAAATCAAAATTATTGTTGTATTTTATTATGGAAAATATTACCATTTACCTTTGATAGAAGGGTTACAATTAATCTTGACTATTGAATGTGAAATTGGGTGGTTAAATTTATTCCATTGACCAAATTTAAAGTTTAAAAGAAATTTTCTCGAATATTGTGACACATCCAAGCTATCAAATTTCACATCTGATGGTTATAAGTAATTGTAACTTCCTTGCACTAAAGGTAAATCATCTTATTATATACAATCCTTTTATAAATATTGGAATTTTTTTTCTTTTCTCTTTTGGATGAGTTAGTGGGGAAAGAGCCCCTACCCTGATAGGAATTGAGCCTAGGATGTAGCATTGCAAATTGTCAAGCACTTACCACTTAAGCCTAGGCTCTTTCCTAAGCAAGTGGTAAGTTAGTAGGGATTTGAGCCCCTACCCTTTGGTGAGAATGGAGTCAAAGACTTCATCATGGGACTCGGCATTACTACTACCAAAGCCCTAGGCTATTCTCTAAAAAAAATGGTAATTAAGTAGGGATTTGGGCCCCTACCCTTTAATGAGAATAAAGTCAGATATCTAATTATAGAGCTCGACAATACTACCACCATGGCTCAACCACCCATTTTAAATCTAAGTTAGTGGGGAATTTCCTTTCTTTTGAACTTTATCAATGGTATATCCCAACCACCCATTTTAAATGTAAGAGCCACTAATAATCATGACCTCCTTGTACAAGACATAAATGATCTTATAGGGGTGGCAACTGGTCAGGTATAGATCAGGTCCGACTAGACTCGAATTCCGAATCCTGACCCTAAATACCACTTATGGACCCTTCCCCTTATCCGAGATATGGATTAAGACTTGGGACCCGGACCCATACCCATACTTGGGACAAAAATGAGGAGATCCCCTTTTTAATGCATAATTCTGTAAAAAAACTCCCAAATTTCATTTTTAATGCATAATTATGTTGAAATCACCCAAATTTCCTCAATGCAGCTTCTTCCACAAAGAGAAAGTTACCAAAAAAACTGCATTAAAATGCAAAAAACAAAGCTCCAAAATCAAATAATGACTTTCCATTTTTGTTGATCTTCCACCGAGTATCAAGATGCAAAAAAGAAAGTATGAAAATCAAATAAAAACTTCCCATTTTTGCTGATCAGCAAATGCAAAAAATAAAAATAAAAAAGCACGAAATTAAAGAAAATTTTGCTATTTTTGCTGATCTTCCACCAAGCATCAAGATGAAAAAATAAGAATACAAAAAAATCAAATAAAAACTTAGCATTTTTGCCAATCTTACACCAAGCATCAAATAAAAACTTGCCTTTTTTGCTCATCAATGATCCAGCTAGCCTTTTTTGCTCATCAAAAAAAACTTTCCTTTTTTGTTCATCAATGATCCCGCTTGGAAGAGAAATAGGATTTGACAGCAGCAGGGGAAGAGAGAGAGAGATAGTTGGACTTTTGCATGGGAAGAGAGAAGAGAGGTAACGTTTTGCAGGAGAAGATAGAGAAAAAAATGCAAATCTAGTGTCAAAGCTTCACAATTCGAACAAATGCAGAGCTTGGCCGACTAAGGTTTATGTGGTCGTAGCTTCGAATAGAGAGAGGGAGGGAGCTCAAAGCCTCAATGCTTTAACGGTGCTGGACTAGGAGCAGGTAGGGTTTGCCTTTGGGAAGGGATGCCTTAAGTTCGTTTAATTAGGGCTAAATTATAGTTAGTTAGATTATTGTTTAGTTAGGTATTTATGTTTTAAAATATATAATATGATTTTAATTGAATAATGAATTATTAATCATTATATACTTAAAATCCTAAATGTATATATTTAACTTAATAACTTATGGGTCCAGGTCACGTATGAAAGGAGAAGGGGTCCACCAATACCCGTACTCATACCCATAAATTTTTAGGTATGCATTGTTGGACACGAACCCTACCAGCCAGGTCCCGGGTCAGATACAGGTTCATTGCCAGCCCTACGATCCTATGCCTTGACCTCTATTAAAGGATACTTGTGGCATAACACGTGGAATACATTTGTTTAATCAAATTAAAATGGAAAAAGAAATGCGCATACAAAAAAGCGGTACATTTTTTTGGATATTTTTCTGCTTTGCATTGAAAGAGAGTTTTTTTTAAGGGTGAGAGAGAGGTCCACAAGGTTGGCCTTTGGATACTCCCAAGAAACAAAGGTCACTGTACTAATCCCACTCACACCCTGTTCACCTCAGTTCTTTTGAAGGCCTCGAATCTTATCATTCCTTCTCCCCAATAATTGAGAGTAAAAATTATAGAACTCTCTCCCTCTAAATGCCAAACTTTCACCTTGGTAATAAAACCATAAAAGGAAAATCAGTCTCTCTCTATGAGCTGTAGCTCTAATACGATGACAAGATGTCAATGTTTCCCCGCCGTTGGGATTTTCGATCTGGTTTAGCAATCCAAATCCACAATCGGGTTTATCGAACTGAAGATTTATAAAATTTAAAAAAAATAATTGAGGTCCATTCGTTGATAGAACTCTAGCTAGTTTCGCAAGAGAACCCGTCCGAACAAACCGACTTATTTAATAATTTAAAAGTAAAAAATTTAAAAGACGGTGGAATCAGTTCATATGAGTTATCTGACAAAATCAATCAGTTTTGTTGCAGAATTGGTACAAAAATCGGCCCGTTAATGAGGATAACCGGCTAGTTCCATATTAAAGGGATCGGAATCGGTCAAACTGATTCCAATCTAAATCGACTGATTTTGATCTAGATGGGTTTTTTAAACCCTAAGATAAAAGGAAAAACAATTCTACCACCAAATCTAACTACTTTCCCTTAATATTATCGAAAT